GCTACAATCTTTGCTTGCTATATAAAGGCTAAAAACAGCCCTAATCATAATACTCATGGATATCCATGATGCCCATTTAGTTCCAATTTTCTGTAACTAGCATCTTTCTAGAATGAGTAAGCATTTTTTACCTCTGGATATATGTTTGTTTTATACATTCATTGTCAAGCACTTGGTTATCCAAGTTTTGGTTATTTCATTTTCTTTGGCTCTGTGCTTCAAAAACTATGATTTGTACATAGGTATTTAGTATGGTTGTATCAAATGGTCCTTTACTTTGCACACAGTACACCTCCAATGATTGTTGGCTACTTGATCAATAATTTGATAAAACTTGAGCTTTAGCTTTTCACTTTTTGTTAAAACTCCTTCCCTGACCTTTTCAACTTGAGATTTGTTGTGTTTTTGTTTTTATTTTCTATTTTGTATGTTCTGCAAGTTTAGATAAAGGAGGATGAATTTTAAAAGGATGTTCATTGTCCCAGCAGCGCAGTCAATTACAGCTGCGTTTGCCAACCAGCACACTATGAAACCAGAGGAGCCACAGAAAGAAGGGTAGTGCATCCTTTTGTGTCCTCAGTGTCCTCTATAGACTAAATGCAGTTTCCAGAAAAGAAAAAAAAAAAGCCATGTGGTATATTACTGCCCAAATAAAGGCTTGGTTCCTGAGTTCCAGTATGAATGTCTGAATTCCAGGTGTAAAATTTCTTCACATTTACCAAGGCATATTTTTTATACCATATTTGGAAAGTTTATTTGGCATGTATTGTGAAAACCTTCTGTTACGGTTTGTGTCTAGTTGTCCCCCCAAAGCCTCATGCAGTCATGGGATGGCTTCTAGAGTTTGTGATTGATTATTGTGGGTGTGGATGCTGCACCTGCCCTGGGACAGGTAATTTGCATCGCAGTGTAGGGATAAGAGAGGCTAGCTAACTGCCTGAGCTGCTACCACTCTCCTTTGCTCTTTCTCCTTGCCACTGGCATAAAAGATTGCTCTCTGCCATGTGGCACTCTGCCTTGAAGCCAACTGAGTATGGACTGAAACCTCCAGTAACTGCGAGCTAAATAAACCTTCCCTTCCTTCATTTTGAATGTCAGGTGTTTGTCCCAGAAATGAGAGAAGAGTAACCAAGACATCTTCCATGACCATGAAATGATGCAAGTTTTGAAGTGCCAGGTATTTAAACAGTGTGTAAACTGTTTGACAGTTTAGTACAGAGCTTTTAAAAAATGAGTAACTAGCAGCCAGATTGTCAGGCTTTTGCATTTTTCTGCTTGTGTTGTTTTGTTTTGTTTTTTGGTACCAAGGATTGAACTCAGGACCTCATGCTTGCTAAGCAGGCGCTTACACTGCTGAGCTATCTGCCTGGCCCCCTTTTTTTCTTTATTAGAGAGTCCTTTAGCTGCTGAAACAAGGCAATTTGGAAAGAAACCACATCTCTTGAGCATCATTATTTTAAAATTCTCAATGTCACATCTGTCATTTTTCCATAAATCCTTTAGTTTCTGATTAGCACAATGAAAGCGATGTAGTCCTGCTTTGCATGCTTTTAGTTCAGATAGTGAGCTGTCATGGTAAATGCACTGTTGTGTGTTACTGTCCTACTTGTGTTTCAAAACGTCTTATAGCATCATGCATTACAAAGTTTCCAACATTGAATTGCAGTTAGCATTCTGTCCAGTAGGTTTCACCCCAGCAAGAACCTAGTAACATTTTCTCACGTAGTTCTAATGTGGGATCATTTAGGTATATGTGACCGTTTTGTAGCATTTTGACTTGTGAGATACTTGTTTGCACTACTGTTTCCTTGTCTGAATCTAGCTTTTCATTCACTTCTCTGTCATCATGGGTAGCGGAATCACCTGGTTACTCACTTTCAACCTGCTCCCAATGTTGTAATAGAGGATTTTCATTTGACATTGTACTGCATTGGGCTAATTCTACAAGAAAAATCAAAAGATCTAACAAAAAATTACAAATGCACAAAAATGTATTTATGGTGCATAGCAATTGCACCAGTTTCTACTTTGACACATGTGCATTCCCCTTGCCTTTGCTGACCAAGTGGGCAGACACAACGATTGCACATTCTGTATTCCCCAGCGCAGCTGCTGAGATCCACAGCCAGCTACCAGCTACCATTATGCTAAAGTACATATTCTCATTAGAAAAATGGTCGGGTATTTTTTATCTACCTTCGTGCCTCTTGGGTAGTAAACAATTATTGTGTTACTTCTTTCATTTTCATAATATTTTGCTAAGGCTTTGTTGAATTTGGATCTGTGAGCTTAAGTTTTCATTGAACTTGGGGGAGTTTTGACAATTACTTCCTCAGAAGAACTCTTATTTTTGTCTTTAAGCTTCTTACTGTCTTAATAGGAATAAGATCCTTCGGATAGGTTTTTTATTTTGGATCATTTCTGTTGCTGTATCTTTGGATTTATTAATCTATTCTGTCTCAGTATTATGGGAATTGAGCTTTTTTTCAAGCTGGAGATACCTCTTTTAATTTAAAAAGAGCTGCCTTTGACAGCTTCACGCTTTCCTCTAGGCATGTGAGTTAGCTAGTATTGCAAGACGTGTGAATGAGCGCTGGCACCTTTGTCAGTTCCAGATCCGAGCTCGGTAGTTTCTGCTGTGGCTTGTACGTTCCTGCTGTCTAGGCCTGCCAGCGTTTTGTTAGATGTGAGAGGTCAATTCTGCTTTGGTGAGGGCTGGGTATTCTTACACATATTTAAGAGATATTCTTGGACATAAATGAAGTATTTGGTATTTTTTATAATGTTTGTTTTTAGGCTTTTAAAAAGCAAAACAAATAGATCTTTAGTCTTCCAGCTATAGGTCTTTAGTCTCTGGCTGCTTGCCTGCAGTGCAGTTTCGATACCCAGTGCTCGGGGTTATGAGAGTTTTCTATTCTGGGCGTTGGAATTCCCAGATACCCGCTACACAGGGCCCCTTCAATAACTTTTTTCAAATGCATGGGCCAATAAGTGCTTAGCTAGCATTTGCTGTCTGGGTAGCTTTGTCCTCTCCAATCTTCTGCCCTAGAAACACTTAAATTGCTCAGTTTCCCGAGTCCCCGCACTGTGGTGGCCAGTTTGGTGGCCTGCTGGGCTCTTGCCTGCGCTCACGGTTCCCCAGGCCTGAGGAGAGGTCCCGTGGCCGGCCTGTGCTGTCCCCTCGCAGAGGTCATGGCCAGAATTGCTTACTGGTAGAAGTAGCAATTTCACTTATTTTTCTTGGTGGTTAAAGCAGGAGGTAAGTCTGGTCAGTGTTTCTTGGTTTCACATAATTATCCTAAGCAACTCTCACTGTCACTAATTTTATTTTCAGCTATCTTTATTTTATGTAATACATGTAGTACAGAATCTATACAGTTTCACTAAGTAGATTGGACACAGCCTGTTTAAAGCCTGTTCCCTGATACTGAACTTAATCTATATATTTTTCCCCTTCTCCCTTCTTTCCTTAGACTTGTAATCCCCTTTTTTGTTCTCTCATTGCATTTTTGAAGTTGCCTTTTTCTTTTGCTAGCTTTTTGTCACTTTTCTATGGCTCAAATAAAATCATAGTAGGAGAGTTCTTTTTCTTACTGAGTTTTCATTTTACATGTCTTTTTTTTTTGTCCCAGGGGAGCATTTTTTATTTTTGCTAAAGTTATTTGCATAATTGTTATGACATTTTTTTCTTACTGAAACTTTATATAAAGTGGCTGTGTTTGAACTCCCTCAGGCTCAAGGCTGTGCCCCAGCTATAGCTCTGGGTTGGAATAGCCTCACTCCTCTAGCTTCCTGGACTATGGCAGTGTGATAGTGATGTAGGGGAAAGAAACTCCCAACTTGAAAGATATCTTGCACAAGTTTGTGGTCTCCAAAACCGAAAAATGAATTTTAGGAACAGTGGTTAAAAGCAGAATACATTTGTTGAGCAAAAGCAAGCTTCTGCAAGAGAGGTACAGAGGGGCACTGAATGGGTTGTCAAGGACCCTGCCTCTTCTAGGGATTTTTATTGAATAAATCCATGAAATGAGGTGGGTCTAAGGTGGGAAACTTGAAACTTGCTAGATGGGCATCACATAAGACAGAACTATGGTTAGATAATAAGATTACAAGCATACTTGACCAGGTAAAATTAATTAAATCAGGATCAAATAGGGAAGCATGAATACAGAACAGAGGCTTTTCCAGTAGGGGTTGAGTCAGTGGCTATTCCTGGCTTTGTGAAGGTGATTGATACCTGTTTAGAATATCAGTCCCTGATGTCCATCCCTAGGGTGGCCTGTGGGTGCCTTTATTTGATCTTTCATCTTAAAGATCTGGCCCTATAATTACAAAGTCTTCCATACTGGCGATGGCACTGACTCGGTTCCTGTAATAGTCTGTGTAACTCCTCTGCCTTCAACAGTAGAATTCAGGCCTGAGGGAAATGATAGACTTTGCCTTTCTGGGATCCTTAAATGTCTGTCCCAGTGTTCCTCTCTCTGGGACAGGAGCCTGCCCCCAGCCTAGTGCAGAGTGAGTGAGAGGACAGGACCCAGTTTACCTGACCGCAGTTGTCAGTTTTGTTTTTACTACTAATGGCAGCAGAGGAAAAAAGATTACCAATTTACTATTTTTCCTCTTTGGGTTGGGAATTCTGGGAATTTTGTGTACTTTTATGATTCGTAGCTCTGGGCTAAAAGGTGGGGTTGGAGATGAGCTCAGCAGTTGTGCTTGCTGGGAGTTTTCCATCTGTTACCTGAATTTTGGTTGCTGCTGGATATTTACGTGTATCATTTTTTGTAGTTTTACTCATTTTTGCTTATTGTAGATGACGAGTGTGTTTTTTTATTCCATCTTTACCCATAACCAAATATTCAGTAGTTTGTAGATAACATGTATGAAACTGGGTGTGGTGTCATTTTTAGTTTTAGTCTTTTCCCCTTTTTCGAACAAGTGGAATTGGAGTTCTCATTACACCTTCTGAATGCATCTGATTGGAGTCCTGTTCTCTTTCCCAGATCCCCTGTTTGTGCGGCAGCGCCCCCTGTCTGCTGTGCCGATGCTGCCCCAGCGGGAACAACTCCACCGTCACCAGGCTGATCTATGCGCTCTTCTTGTTCCTTGGGGTGTGTGTTGCTTGTGTCATGTTGATACCAGGAATGGAAGAACAACTGAATAAGGTTAATCGTTTTTTTTTCTTATTTATTAAGTGACACTAGAATATGCAGACTATGGGGTTTCTTGGGGGGGGGGTTGGAGTATTATAGAGAGAATAAAGATGCTTTACAACCCCAATAGCGTACTGAAAAAGCAGGTGTTTGTCAGTGTGTTGGGCTGGAGGAAATGGGAAGAAAAAGTTCATTCTCACAGAGGTGAGAAACAGGTGGTTCTGCCCCTTGTTTCCCTTGAACATTCCTGTTCATATTCTGATTACAATGTGGCTTTACACTTTCACTTGGTGCTGAGGATCAAACCCAAGCCCCATGCATTTTGGCAGGCCCTCAGCCCGAGCCCAGCCTCTTAGAGTTTGACTTCTGAAATGGTTGTCTTTTTCAAGATTCTAAATTAAATTATAAAGTTACTGCTTCACATATTGTTAGGTTAGCCCCATATATAGTCAGAATGAGACCAAAAAGTGTATTAAAGTAGCATTGCCTTTGAAAAGCAAAGTACTAATCTCTTTAGTTCCTAGAAACTTGTCAGTTACTTTGTGATTCTTTAAGCTCATACTGACTTTCTAACTGTACAGTTCAGTGTATCACATTAGAATGTAAATTTTAAAGATTTACAATGTTCTCCAACTCAAAAACGCCTCCTACTTCGCATTGACATTGGTAGTTCATTTTCTTATGAGAATTTTAACTACTATTCTCTGATTAAAATGGAGTTTATTTTGATTATATATTCACTATGAACTATAAGGCAGACTCACTTTTCAAGTCTTAAAACTCTTTGATTTCACACTTTTGTCTTTTTTAACTTAATGGAAAAATGTGGATCACAAGCTTTCTTTCTTTTCCCAGATTCCTGGATTTTGTGAGAATGAGAAAGGTGTCGTTCCCTGCAGTATTCTGGTTGGCTACAAAGCTGTGTATCGCTTGTGCTTTGGCCTGGCCATGTTCTACCTCCTCCTTTCTCTGCTTATGATCAAGGTGAAGAGTAGCAGTGACCCTCGAGCTGCCGTGCACAATGGGTGAGTGTTCGATTAGGCCTCTTCTAAGCAGTTGTCAGTCTACTGAAGAAACTGAAGCAGAATAAAAAAAGTTTGCAGAATTTTGTTCATGAGGTAAGAAAATCCTCCTATTTCATCTAGACAGCATCAAACCTCAGATAGTCCACGATAAAAACTGGGTGTGGTGGCACACTCCTGTAATCCTAGCGCTTGGGAGGCTGAAAACAGGAGAATCACTTAGTGAGACCCTGTAGGCCCTGATCTAAATTCATTAAAAAAAAAGATAATCCATGATAGCTTTGGGTCATTGATTGGATAACTCTGATTTCTGTTTTATTTTTTCATCTTAAAAATGGCTCTGCACATCTATGCCCATTCCTGGACAATTGGTGCTCTTCCTGTCTCCCTTTAGTCTTGCTGGAGTGGCTCATCCGTGGAGCTCTGTTTCCTAGACCTAAAATGTAGCTGTGACAGGAAGCTTGCTCCTGAACAGTACATTGGTTTTCTGAGCGATGGCTCCAGACAGCTAAGATGGAGACATGAGTGTGCAGTTGTTGGTCTCCTTCAGTAGCACTATACCAGGAACTTGGAACGCGTGGACTTTTTGTATTTTTTCCCGCAAAGTAAGTTTTAAACAATATCTGCTATTGTGCTCCCAGAGACTGGAGGAAAGCACATGGGATGTTAGTATTAATGAAGAATTGTGATAGGACAAGCTTATTTTCATCCTTTTAGTCTTTGATTGTTTTAAATTCTGTTTCAATGGAGCAGCCATTTCTCATATATGTAGTAGAAAATTCATTGTGTAATGCACCCTGCATTTTCACTTACTAGATAGAATAAACCTGTAAAATAGAACCAGCATCTTCACATGAATTAATGACAAATAACACTGTCTTAAAGCTAACTTAAAGATAGTTTATGTTATATATAGTCTCATTTCAAGGTGATCCTAACCAAGAATGGAAGAGTTACATGAAATGTAGCTATTCTTCAAAATGCTCTTCAAATTTTTCATCTATAAAATTGTTGAATGAACGTTTACTAATAAAAATTACATTTGTTATAGATTTTGGTTCTTCAAATTTGCTGCAGCGATTGCAATTATCATTGGGGCATTCTTCATTCCAGAAGGAACATTTACAACCGGTAAGAATTTTTTTCTTAGTTGAGTGATACTGATGCAGTCTGAAGGGCACTGAATAAATGTTACCTGGAGTTGTAACTGTGTTTATTGTTTTATTTTGCATTTTCTTTTGTCCCTTGTTACAAATCAAGTCATTTACATAAAGCATTATTTTTCCCTTTCATTAAAAAATATGTATGAAAAATGCGTGCTGCCACTAACCAGCCTTGTGCGGGCCTCCCTTTCAGTGTGGTTCTACGTGGGCATGGCAGGGGCCTTCTGCTTCGTTCTCATACAGCTCGTCCTGCTGATTGACTTCGCCCACTCATGGAATGAGTCGTGGGTGGAAAAGATGGAGGAAGGGAACTCAAGGTGCTGGTATGCAGGTGAGCTCCGCTTATGCAGAACACCTCCAGGGCGGTGCGCTCTGCTGAGGACAGACAGAAGGTTACTTGGGATTGTCATGATCTGATTGCCTCGAAGAGTTGCCAGTTTGTCAGTGGCATCGTATGTACCTTACTGCATCCACAGCTTGTTAAAGATCTTTTGACAGATGAGCTGGTAATATACCTAAAACCAGAACAGAGTCTACAAGAACTTGAGTAGCTAACGTAATATTTCAAGGCCTATTTGTGGAACCTTGTGCATACTAGGTTCCATACCAGGGGAAGGGGCCGCTAGAAATAAATGTGTGATGGTACAGTCAAGGCAGATGGAGAAGGCAGGGTGTAAAGATGTGGAGGACCGCCCGGTGCCTCCTTGGAATAGGTGCTGTTGTCTCCATCTTGCCTGAGCCTGTTTCCATGTACTGACATGTGCAGAGCTGGCTAGGACTTTTCCTTATCCTTTCAATTGGCTATAAGCAGTGGGTGTATGAGCCAGGATAAAGAGCCAGGGTTCCATGCATTCAGCTGGGATCAGCCTCCAGATGAAGGCTGTGACTTCCTGGGCTTTTAAGGTTACACGTCGGAGCTGAAGCGTGGACCCCAAAGCATGAGGTACTGTGTCGGTTGTGTAATGCAGGCTACTCTTTCTGTGTCCTGCAGAGGTGAATGTAGGCCTACCTAGCCTAGCTCACAGCACTCACCTGTTCCCTGTGATTCTCAGTCACTTGTCCTCAGGCCACTCCTTTCTCCCTGAAGTAAAACATGGGTTCGGCCCCGAGTAGAGGCATTTGTTCCAGATAGCCATCGTCGTGGTTGGACTCGGGACCCCTGGGCTCCCCATAATTACAGATAGAACTTTCTCTCTATGTTCTCCCTGAAGGTTGCACTGGAAGGTGGTAGGCTGGAATTAACTTACTAGAATTCCAATGACTTGTCATGGGATTCCAAATACAAACTTCCTGTGCCATGACGAGCACCAGAAGGGCTCTCCGTATAAAGATGTTAAGACATCGGTGTCATTTAACTGATTGTGTTATGTGCATTGGTCACACCTAAGGAAAATTCCTGTCATAGGGTGATTAACGTTTACTTACATAGTACTGGAAGCATGGATCAAAATTGAGGTGCTCAGGGCGGGGGAAATAGCTCAGCTGTTCTAAGCGTTTGCCTGGCAGGTACAAGGACTAGGGTTCTGTCCCTGGTACCACACGCTGCGCTGGCCCCACCCCCAGGCATGCTGGCCGCTGAGTCCAGGTGTGGTGGTGCATATCTGTAATCCCAGTGCTGGGGATGCCGAAATAGGATTACTACTGCGTAGCAAGACCCTGTACCAAATAAATAAATCTTTTTAAAGAAACAAAACACAGAGTCACTGGGGTGAAATAGGTGAAAGAAGGGACAGAGTTTTAGCGAGCCCAGCCCCTAAATGTAGGAGTCTGTGATACAGTGTGATTGCCCTGTAGAGCATCCTTGCTAATCAGGGCAGCTAAACTCGTTACTGCTTGATAGTTTTTTTTTTCTTTAAAACATGCTATAAATTTGGATTCTTTGGAGCCGGGGAGATGGCTCAGTAGAATACTGAGTTCAGTCCCCGGTTCTGCAAAAAAAAAAAATTGGATTCATGTGTAAACCCTGGGTTCATTTGAAGGTAACAGAATAACTGAAACAGAAGCCAAATGTATGGAATCTTTAGCCAGATGTTTGTCCTCAAAACTAGTTGGTGATGATTGGTTTCAGTTGTTAACGTAAGATCAGTTTGTTGCTCAAAGAAAGAATTTTTGACATTCAGAGACTTCTCTTACATAGCCTCATCCAGTGAGAACATGTCTAACACGCGGGCTTCGTCTGTTTTACTCTGCCACATGGCCCGGGCCTGGGACGTCTCAGGAACATCCCAGGGATCTCCTCAGTGAGGCAGACCCACTGACACTTCCACACCGCACATGTACTAGCACAAAGACTGGCCGCGTTATGTGTGTCACAGTTTACGAAGAATCTCAAGTTGTCTTAGTAAATAGTGAAGTTGTCTTTACATAGTATACATACTTTTGTCTGATTTCATGTGGTGAGGGGAAATTTTGGTTTGTGTTTCTTAGCATCCTACCTTATTTACAACTGAATGATTATGATTCTTTAAAAACCTCAAGTAGGGCTGGCGAGATAGCTCAGTGCTCTAAACGCCTGCTTAGGTAAGTGCAGAGACTAGAGTTCGATCCTGGCCACCACATGCTGTTCCATGCCATGCTGGCCCCACCCCCGGGTGCTCTGAACCGAGTGAATCAGGCGTGGTGGTACATGCCTGGAAACTCAGCACTGGGAGGCTGAGACAGGATCACTGTGGGTCTGAGCTGTGTAGTGAGACCCTGTGCCAAACACATTAAAAAGAAGAGAAAGAAGGAAAACCTCAAGTAAAACTCCTCCTGTTTATTTTTAAAGTAATTCCTGCTATATATGAATGTGATTTGTAAATTGTGAGATAAATATTCCTACTGATAAAAATTATGTAGCATGTTCGTTATTTACTGCCTTGACAACATGATAGTGAGCTGATGTTCTGAATTATTAACTTCCCCTACTTCTGTGGCCTGTGTAATGCAGTTACTAAAGTTGCATGTTTAGATAACACGACCCATCAGTTTTTAAAACAAGTCACATGCCTAGCCGTGGGCCGTGTGGTGAAGTCCAGTTCCGTTTCCTCGCAGCCCTGCTGTCAGCCACGGCTCTGAATTACCTGCTGTCTGTCGTTGCCATCGTGTTGTTCTTTGTCTACTACACTCACCCAGCCAGTTGCTCAGAAAACAAGGCTTTCATCAGCGTCAACATGCTGCTGTGCGCGGGCGCCTCTGTGATGTCCATCCTTCCCAGGATCCAGGTACGCTCGCGGCATGCCCGCGCACATGCCCTGAGCGGTCTCAGCCTGTTCACGGTGCTGCTGCTGCTGCTTTGTGTTTTGCTTTAGGAGTCGCAGCCGAGGTCGGGCTTGTTGCAGTCCTCAGTCATCACGGTGTACACGATGTACCTGACGTGGTCGGCGATGACCAATGAGCCAGGTACGATTGAAGCCCTCGGAGTCCCTTTACTCCAGTCATCTGGGAGCTCGCTACCCGAAAGCCAGTCTGCTAGAAGGGGGCCTGGAAGTGGACACTGTTGTCTGCATCACCTCCTGGATTCCTTAACAAACTGGAAGGTTGTTAAAACCACCTGAAATTCTAAGAAATCTGCTTAACTACTTTTCAAAAGAAACTTCATCACATGATCTTGCTTCTGTGGCGGTGCAGTTTTCACACTGTTACTTCTTGTCTGACTCCCTTGCAGTGGAACGCAGCCGAGCTTCGGATCTGCCAGGGTCGGGCAGTTAGGCTGCGTTCCGTGGGAGTGCAAGCCAGAATAATACGTGGCACTTGAGGAAAGAGGAGTTGCTATTTTAAAGGAGAAAAGCCAGAGTTCTCTTAATAGTAATTTGCTTTAAGTATTTTTAGAAACTTAGTTTTCTAAGTTGTTACTAGGTGGCCATCGGCAGATCTGGCTTTGTGGGAAGAATGCACGTGGCATTTTTGTCAGTACTTCACTAGCCCTTTATGTCTTGTGAAAGAGCAAAGAGATCAAATAAATAGTAGTAGTAGTTGGGCCTCCATGGTCATTTCCACAAAGTGCTTGCTATTGGCGTTACGTGTAAGTCTCCGTTCTTGTAGAAGATAGGACATTGAATGATTTAACTTTTGTGAACACTTCTGTATTTGCATTATAAAACTTAAAAGGAAAAACTTAAGATCTTATTAATAGATAAAAATAATTCTTACACATTTTGTTGTTACACTTGTGTCTTTTCCAGAACAAAACTTTTGAGTTTCCAGAGATGAGAGTTAAAAAGAATGACTGCCCTAAAAAATAAATTTTTTCTTACCCTAACATTGTCATTTTCCTTTTTTTTGAAGACAGGGTCTCAGACTCCTAGTGACCCTCCTGTCTCACCCTCCCCAGCACTGGGATTACAGGTGTGCACCAGCACGCCAGGCTTGTTTGACTTTGAGTCTGTTTTACAGAAACGAGTTGTAACCCCAGTCTTCTGAGCATCGTTGGCTTCAACACCACAGGCTCCAGCCCAGACAAAGGGCACTCCGTGCAGTGGTGGCACCCTCAGGGGGTCATCGGCCTTGTCCTCTTCCTCTTGTGCGTCTTTTATTCGAGGTAATTAAGCCAGGAGCAGGCTGCTGGGCGGGCCGCTGCTGACTCAGGAGGGGCTCTTCTTCAGCATATGTCTCTGTCTGCCCTCATGCAGCATCCGCACCTCCAACAACAGTCAGGTTAATAAGCTGACTCTTACGAGCGATGAGTCCACACTGATTGAAGATGGCGGAGCCAGGAGTGACGGGTCCCTGGAGGATGGCGACAGTGCCCACCGGGCCGTGGATAATGAACGGGACGGCGTCACATACAGCTACTCCTTCTTCCACTTCATGCTCTTCCTGGCTTCACTGTACATCATGATGACCCTGACCAACTGGTACAGGTACTGACCCTGTGTGGCAGCTCGGGGCAGGAGGGCTCTAGTTGGGGGAGAGGGGTGCAGTAGTAACATGAGCCTCGGCCAGACTTTAAAGATGTCAATGAAAACTATAAAGCCAAGATTTATTTATAGAAATGTGTGTGGATAAATTGTTCTAATGTATTTTTTTTCTGGGAAGATCAAAGCAATTTATAGTGATCTTTTTAAAACTGATTTTATCTAAATAATTGTAGAACAATTCTATTTAAGATTCAAATTGACATGTACAGTTTAGGTAGCTTTTTGGCGGGGGCACTGGCTCAGCCTGCCCTGATGGCAGGGCTGGTGTGGTATGTGGTGTGGGTGATCAAACCGCAGTCCCTAAGCTAGCCTAAGCAGGCACTTAAGTCCACTGAGCTGTGTTGCCAACTGGTAGTGTGATTTTTTTCTTTTTTTTCTTTTGCGGAACTGGGGATTGAACTCAGGCCCTTGTGCTTGCCAGGCAAGCGCTTACTCTACTGAGCCATCTCCCTGGCCCCGGTAGTGTGATTTTTAAGTAATTCTAAGTGCATGATGCCCTTGAATGGGATGTGAAATTATTTTCAGTACTAGCAAAAGAAAAAAGTAATATTTGCTGTATTTTCTTGAGAGCATCCTTGACTGATTACTACTGAAAAGACTACGGTTTTTTGAATTCCTACACTACGTTGTATTAAGCTAGAGAAATCCAGATAGTTCTCAGGAATTCTCAATAATGGCTATAAGGTAATAGTAGTAAAAGGTAAGACTTTAGGTGAGAGAGATTTAACACAGAATCATCTGCGTGTTCTTGGTGCTGTGCTAATTCTGAGAAGCCAGGAAATGGAGAAACAGTAAGCTGGGTTGGGAGTTTGCAGACGGACGCTGGACCTCCCCCATCCAGAAATCAGGCCATTTCTACCCCGTAATGTACCAGAAGTACAGGCTGCCCTGGTACTTCAAGTCCTGTGCTCTTCAGTCCAGGAAAAGACACCGCTGATTTATACCTGGTCCCGGCTCCTAGGTCCCTTTGGGGTGCAGGGCAGCAGGTCCGTTCTGCGCTGCACACTGCTGGCAGGAGACTGGCCCGTGCCAACCCTCTCAACCCTGTGTGCTACACTCGTACTGATAGCCCCCCCCCCCCCCCACACACACCCCCCCCCCCCCCCCAACCCTCAGGTACGAGCCTGCACGGGAGATGAAGAGCCAGTGGACGGCCGTGTGGGTGAAAATCTCCTCCAGCTGGATCGGCCTCGTGCTGTACGTGTGGACGCTGGTGGCGCCACTCGTCCTCACAAACCGTGACTTCGACTGATGCACGTCTGGCAGGAAGGCTCCCTGTGGGCGCTGCTCTGTGGAACTTTACAGTATTCCTGGCTCTTGTGAAGTTGTGTGTGTGTATGCTTCCTGTGTACTTTCTCCAGTGTTGTCTTGGCATGGATTAGGTTTTACTGCTTGCCATTTTATTCATTATTTTCTTGCCAAGTGCATTAATCACGTGCAGTGTGGGTCACAGATTGCGAGCTGTATGAGGATGGCAGTGAGTTAGGAGAAGCGGATGCTGGGAGGGTGGCCTCTGCTCCTACCTGTGAAATTAGAGGAGTGTAGGAAGCAGAAGTAAATTAGCAGTATTGGGTGACAGTTTGGTTTTAAATTTGTTAGACTGTAATTGTCTTAGGACGCATGAAAGTAGACGCATGGCTGCTGTCTGAAATACTTGAAATGTGTTGCCTTGTGGAGGCCTGCATGGGGCATAACGCGGTTCTGCTAAACTTGCAGGACAGGTCACTCAAATGTAGTCTGATGCGAGTTCCATGTTGTTAGGACTTGCGCTTAGCGTGAAGGTAGGGGCTTCAGTAGCCCGGGTGCCTGCTCAGTGGAGGACAGGGTATGCTCAGGCTAGGCCCAGAGTCTTCCCAGGGTCCGGTGGCACCCAGTGGGTGTCAGACTGACTGTTCTGTGACACTCATCCTCCGTGGGTGGCTCCAGGGACTGTCACCAACCCATGACCTTTTGTTCTGTGGCCGTTACAAACCCATGCAGCCAGTGTAGGTGTAGTGGAGACAGTAGGAACTTTGAGGGGTTTAGACAGTTTTTAAAATGATAATCACAGGTTAAAAAAGTTGTTAAAACTTAGAAAAGCAAAAGGTGGTTAAAAATTTACCAAGGCAGAAAAAAACTATAAAAAGGCCAGGCTTCCGTAGATCCTTAAATAAAAGTGCAGTTCTTTCATTTAAAAATAAACTAAAGCACAGACTTCAGTGGCTAATTTGTGGCAAAGTTAGGATATTCTAAGTGTACCAACTCTGGCATTGATCTCTGACATTAAGTAATTTCTGTTCAATATAACATGTGCACAGTTGGATTTGCACCTCCTTAGCAGGGGCTGCTTCCTGGGACACGGCTGGCTGCCGTTCAGCCTGTAAACCAAGATGGGCATGCTGCACTGGTGTGGGGTAATTCACAGAGCGCCACACAGGGCAGCAGAGGTTCTGAGCTGTTGTGTTTACTGCCATATAATTGAAGTATGTAGGTTATTGTAATCTTTCAACCTAGAAATCAAGCAGTGTGAAAGTTAATTTAGATAGAAACTTAGTTATTTGTATGTGTAATTAGTGCCTGACCAAGCCTTTAAAAATTTACATTTGCTTCCTTAAAAATATTTATTACTGTAAGTGGAATATAACAGTTCTCTTGAATTCCCGCATCTGACTGTGTATTGTGTTTCACAATTTTGGATGACTGTGTTCAGTCTCTAAATAAATGAACTCCAACCCGTGCACAGCGTGTTAATTCTTCACTAGCTCAGGTCGTCTTGGCTGCAACACTCACACCTCCCGCTCTCCTTTGTGAAAGGCAGCCTGGCTCTGGGGAGTAGCTGAGTTCTTTTGCTGCTGTCTTGGGCTGTCTACACCCAGGTCCTGAACTTGGGGCTCCAGGTGTGCTCCCCTCGGAGCCTCTGTAGCTGAGCCAGCCTGTGTGGAGAGCATGACACCCTCCCCGAGGCCTCAGCTCCCAGTGTGCACCCCAAGAGTGAGCCTTCCGCACAGCCCTCTGCAGGGGCCGCAAGCATCCGATCCTCCTGGACGTGCTGCTCGGTACTGAGGCGAGCGAGGCCCATGGCTGGTGTGTTACAGTCAGCGTAGCGGCTCGGTGAGGCTCTGTCCTGAGAGTAATCTCCAGGACCAAAATCACACTGTTCTGGCCAGCAGGCTTCAGTCCGTTGGATTGAGTAATTTACAGTGGCCTGAGTTTCTCCAGAATTAAATTCAGGAAAATCCATGTAAGATGCAGGTCATTTCAGATTAAAAATAAAATGGTCACAAAAACCCTGTACCGAAATGTTTAGAACAGCTTTATTTGTAACAGCCAACATTCAGACTAACCCACAGCCTCAGTGGGTAAAAGGCTGGGCCACGGGCTCTGCAATCCCAGTTATGTGAGTTCGCAAAATACAGGCCAGGAGAACGGATGGCAGCTGTCTCAGGATCCGGGACCCTTGGGTTGTCATCCTTTTTCATCCCACCCCAAGATGTTGAGAAGCCTCAGGTTTTAGCCAGATGGAAGTAGTTCCCATGTTTCTCTCCTGTTCTTGTAACATCCCTACATCTAGGACACTTGGTTCCTACCATGGGTGTGAGAAAACGTTCGGTGGCACCTGTCCCCTGTAGCAGCACGGAGCGTCCTTGCCGCCCTGAGCCCTGCTCCTCCTGTTGCCCTCCCTCCTGCAGCCCTTGTCACTCCTCTTCATGCTCTGCCCTGGCTTCACCCGGCTCCCGATGGCCCATGATTGGATCACAGTTTCCTGGCTTCATGGCTCATCTTACCAGCGAGGAGTACTCCACTGCCTGGGTGGACTGTTGGCCCTGGGACCCCTTGGCTGCTGTCATGTCTCTGGTTGTGAGGAAGCTGCTGGAAACGTGTAGCCTGGGCTGTCTTCAGCTCCTCCAAGTAATCACAGGACCTTTGTTAACATGTGGTTGGTATATTTTTTTAAAATTTTAAAAAAATTTTTTTTTTATTTTCTTGATACAGGTCTCGCTATGCAGTTTGGGTTTGTAGTGATCCTCCTGTGTCAGCCTTCCCAGTGCTAGGATTACAGGTGTGTGCTACCATGCCCTTTTCTGCCCAGCAGGACATTGGAGTACTAGGAATCAAACTCAGGACCTTGCGCTTGCCAGGCAGGCGCTTAGACTGCTGAGCTATCTCCCCAGCCCAAGTGTATTTATTTTCATAAGAAACTGCCAGTCCCCGAAAGACCATTCCATTTCCTTTGACCACTAGTGAAGAGAAATATTTGCCATGCCCTCGCCACCCTGTTCCGTGCTGTGTATTTGGGCCGTTCCAACAGAAGAATATGAGGACCTCGCTGATTTTTAATTTGCATTTTCCTGGTGACATGATGCAGATACTTCTTCATGGGGTTTGGTAAATGTACATGTTTGGTGAGCTGTCCATAAAGGCCTTTTGCCCATTTGTAATGGGATTACTTTGTTCTGAGTTCTGGAAATTTTCTGTGTATTTTGGAGAACGTGCTCTGACAGGCACTGCTTTTAGTGGTTAGCTTCCTTCTGACATTCACCTTTATTCTCCGGACTGCCCAGCTTACCTGTTCTGATTGTGTATTTGGTGTTCTAGTTGAAGAAGCCATTACCAGATTCATGGCCATGCAGGTTTTGTTGTGCCCTAGGAGTTTTACTCTGCCTGTTACGTTTAGGTCCGTGACCCATCATGAACTTTTCACAGCATGTAAAGTCTGTGAGGTGCATGCTTCCCATGCTGATTCCTGTTCGTCCAGCACTGTTTGCTGAAAGGCCATCTGGGCTCCGTCTTACTGTCTGTTGTTAGAGATCAGCTGACACATCTAGACTATTGTGGCTTTATCGTGGGCAACAGGTGGTGGTGCCAGGCCACAGGAATGTTGGTTTTCCTCTTAAGAGTTGTTAGCTGTTCTGGGTGATCTCCCTTTTCATGTAAACTTCAGCCTCAGTTCATCAAAGTCCACAAAGTTTTCCTGAGATTTTGATAAGGGTGGTTTTCGGTCTACAGATCAAGCTGGGCAGAACACGTCTACCACTGTTGAGTCTCCATTTATTTATTTATTTTTAATTTTAGTACAGGGTCTACAGGGTCCCGCTACACAGATTGGACTCATAATGATCCTCCTGTTTTCAGCCTCCCCCCCACTGGGATTACAGGAGCGCACCATCACGCCCAGTCTCGGCACGCTCTGGGAGCGAGGACGGCACAGCAGGTAGTGCCAGGGATCGAACCTAAGCAGGCACTTTACTTCACTAAGCCATATCCCCAGCCCAGGACCAGTTTTTACTTTCATTGAATTTATTGTCTTACTGGTCTCTCCTGTTTCTTTTGTGTGGGATTTAATTTCCTTCCCCTAGTTCTCAGGCTGGAGGCTTGGGCCTTTCTCATACAAATGCATCCAATGCTTAAACCTTCTCTGTGAGTCGCATCCCACTAGTTTTGATTAATCTACTTCATTTTTTAAAAAATACTTTCAAGAGCTGGGAAGATAGTTTGGAGGTCTGAGTGCCTGCCTGGCAAGCACAAAGTTGGATGCCTGCTAGTCTATGCTATGCCTCAGAGCACCCTGCCAGGCCTGGTGGCGCATGCCCGGAATCCCAGCTCTGGGGAGGCTGAGACAGGATCACATGAGTCTCAACTGCAGAGCAAGACCCTGCACCAAATAAATATACTTTTAAATTTTGGGTAATTTCTTCAGGTTTTTGAGAAATGTGTTGCTTAATGATGTGTTTTTAAGATGCTTTTTTTTACTGATTTGTGGCTTAATTCCATTTGGAGAGCAGATACTGTGATTTTTATCCTGAGTTTATGTCTGCTGAGGTCTCTTCTAGGCCCTAGAATACCATGTGTCCAGGAGGAATGTGATGTACCCTTGAACATGCCACCCTGTGACTGGATGAAATCACACTGGCCCGTGAGATCTAGGGATGGATCTTTAGGTCCACGTGTCAGTTCTCAATTCCCTGTCCTTAAGGAGTAGAGGAATGAAGTCTCCAGCTGGAATACTGGGTTCATCTATTTCTCCCTGCAGTCATTACTTTTGGTGTGTCCTGAGACTCTTGGGTACATACATATTCGGATGGCTGTGCTTCTCAGCAGTGGACCTGCTGTCACACCTGCTGGAAATTCATCCCTGTGCAGTCTGCTGTGTCAGAAACTAACACAGCTACCTTTCCCTTCTTTTGGTGGTGGTTGGCATGCTTGTCTCCCTCCATTGAAAGTGGGTTTCTTTTGTAAACCTGTTACTTACTGGGTCTTTTTAGCCCACTCTTGACCGTAATTGGTGTTTCGTTTTAGCTCACTGACATTAAAAGTTGTTATTGATAAACATGCACATTAATCTTGTTTACTTACGTCCTTGTTCTGTTTTTGCTTTCCATTATTTTTCTGCTTTTGTGAATGTAATTGGGCTGTTTAACAGGGTCTTGCTGTGTAGCCCAGGCTGACTTTGAATTGTCCATGTAACCCAGTCTAGCCTCAAGACTGCTGTGATTTTCCTGCCTCCATCTCCCCAGTGCTAGGATTCCAGGCATGCAGTGTCGTGCCTGGCTTTATTTTTTTAATTTTATGTATTTGGTACAGTCTCACTACACAGCTTGGTCTCACAGTGATCCGTTTCAGCTTCCCCAGTGCTGGGATTACAGGCATGCGCCTGGTCTTGGTGGCCAGCTCTGCACTCCCGGGGCAGTGCCAGCACAGCATGTGGTACCAGGGATCAAACCCTGATCCTTGTGCTTGCCCAGGCAGGCGCTTAGACCACTGAGCTATCTCTGCAGCTCATTTATTTTTTGTATTTTAGGGAAGGGTCTACAGGGTGTTCAGGGTCTCACTACTAGATCAGACTCAGTGATCTGCCTGTTTACAACTTCCCAGGAACTGGGATTACAGGCTTGTACCACCACGCCCAGTCTCAATTGCCATCTCAGCATGCCCCAGAGGTAGGACTGGCACGGCAGGCCCAGGGATTGAACCCCCGGCCCCTGTGCCGGCTTGCAGGGGCTTACACTGAGCTATTTGGCCCTTCCTTGTCATTTTACGAGCTTCTATTTTCTTTTCAAACTTTTTAAATGGTTGTCCTAAGGTTGCAATCTTACAGCTAATTAAAGCCCATTCTCAAACACAGTATGTCTTCACCAGAAACATGAATACTCTGTTGCTGGGTCCTGTGTCATTGTTGCATTCCCTTCACTCATGTACACACGTAAGCATGGCATTGTAGCTACCAGATTAACCTCGCATAGACACACTGATGGAATTTGCTGGGAAAACGCTACGTTTGGAGTTGTTTTTTGCAGTACCAGAGATCAAACTCAGGACCTTGCGTTTGCCAGGCAGGCGCTTAGGCCACTGAGCTATCTCCCCAGCCCTCTGGAATTTTAAGTATTGGTAAAATTTAGTAATGACAGGATTATGTATACTGTCTATTCAAACAGTTTGGGTAATTTGAAGGAAATGTTTTTCACTTTTAAATTGTATTTGTGAAAATACCTAATAAACAACTGCATTTCATTTTTTTGCATTCTAGTTATGTTCTTTGTATCTTGCTTGATCTCACTGGATTTTCAGTACTTTCAGTACTTTCTTCTGGTAAACTGGAGTTTTAAAAGAATCTCTACATATTAAATTCCTTTTTTACCTGTGCCAGAAGCTGATTTGCTTGAAAAGGATTTCAAAACTAGATCTCATCCTTGTGACAGTAGCCATCCCGAGGGTGCTCGTTACCCACTCTAGAGCTTACCAAGGCACTCTGGACATTTAAAAATATTGAGAAACTAAACAGTGAAAAGCTGTGCTTTCAACAAAATTAGATGCTCTGATTACTTCATTTAAAAGGTCACTAAAATGTAAAGTGTGTTGTGTTACTGAACACTAAACCCTGACGTTATCCACCTCAGGTGACAGGCAGAACATAATGGAAGCATGTCCCCTCCTGTGTCCAGGACTGAGTGGTGGCTGGCCTCCACATTGACCCAAGAAGCCAAGTCTGTCCTCAAGAGCATCCTTGGAAGGTCCAATAACTGAAGAGTGTGTTCCCCCCGGGGAGGCCAGTTTCCTTCCTCACTGCCCAGTGGGCTCTGGTGTGAGTTTGTTGGTTCTGGTGAGCTTGTGGCTGCTGGAGAAGTACAATGGGCAACTTGTACTTCTCAAGGGGTCTTTGATTATAGTATGGAAGGGCACTGGGGTCTAGTAGACATGTCATATTACGTGCTTTTAAAGAAAATAATAAAATGGTAAAAATTAAAGGACAGCTACATTTGTGGTGTAGTACTTGTAAATGCACCTTCTACACACCAGCAATGGGTGTTTGTAAAATTTCCATGTCAAAACTCAGGATGGCTCAGCAGATTAAAGCACCTGCAAGCAGGCACAGGGGCCAGGGGTTCAATCCCCTGCTGTGCCGGGTCCGGCCCCGGCCCCGGCCCCGGCCCCAGCCCCGGGGTGTGCTGAGACTGGGCATGGTGGTGTGCGCCTGTAATCCCAGCGCTTGGGAGGCTGAAAACAGGAGAATCGCTATGAGTCCAATTTACATAGTGAGACCCTGAACACCCTGTAGGCCCTTCCCTAAAATACAAAAAAAAACCAAACTCAGGATAAGGGCTGGCCAGTGGACTAAAGTGTGCAGCAACCGGGGTTTGATCCCTGGAGTGCTGTGCTGACCCCTCCCCTGGGCCACACCGGATGAATCACCGGTCTGATCTGTGTAATGAGACCCTGTAGATCCTATACTACATACATAAAAACCCCAAAAAACTTCAGGATGAATTGACAAACCATGAATGTTTTTTGTATTAATGAAATTCTTTTTTTTTTTTTTTTTTGTGGAACCGGGGATTGAACTCAGGCCCTTGCACTTGCCACGGAAGCGTTTATTCCACTGAGCCATCTCCCCAGTCCCGAAATTCATTTTTCATTAATGTAAATTTTTTTTTTTGGTGGAAGCGGGGATTGAACTCAGGCCCTTGCGCTTATCAGGGAAGCGCTTATTCCACTGAGCCATCTCCCTGGCCCTCATTAATGTGATTTTAATTGGTATATTGATTTTTAAATTTGAGGAGCAATTCCAATTCAGACAACTAATTTGGTGTATTCAGTCTTTTTAAGTTTATTAATGAAAAAAGCAGTAAGCATGACTAGCTCCACTTACCACCAGTGGGACACACTGCCCAAAGGGATGGCCACCCCTGTACCACCAGTAGTGCAAGCCACTGAGCGAATGTGCTAAGAGTGCAGGATGGGGGTGGGGGTTTACTACATACCTTTCACTTGTATAGCTAAGTATCTCAGTGTAAAGGTGGAAAAAATCTACTGACTGTTGCAGGCAGCCAAATTAGATAGAAATATTATAGGCAGTTAGACAGAGCTAGGCCCTTGAAGGAGATCGCACAGAAGATACAACTGTAGAAGGATGCTCCTGCTGTGAGCCAGACGTAAAGACCAAAGATCAAACAAATGCTAACCTCCCTAAAGCCTAGCATCTTCTCCCTGAGAAAGCCAGGAAGTCACTATCTGATGGCTACCAGCTAGAGTCCTGCTTCACATTCACGCCCCCTAGCTACATGACTCCTTTCCCCATTTGGTCCTGGACTTAATTTTACCTGAGCAATGGTAATCTCATTGGTTGATGATAGTTTTGTCCCACCCCACATCCACCTAAGCAAGTTCCCATTTTCTCCACCTTAGCCCCACATGGTTTTACACTATAAAAGTCCCTGGAAGACACAGCTACCTGGGGACAACCCACTTGGGGCCCTCCTCCTGTCCCTCTCAGACAGGAGCTTTCTTTCCCTCAATAAATATATTCTGCTCATAACCTCCATTTGTTCCTGAAATTCATTCTTCGGTTTCAGAGAACACGAACTCGTGCAGGTCAGGTTGGGAGATCATTTTTCCCTGTATCATTTGGAGGTTCCCTGTAGCATTTGCAGGTCACCCACCTGAGATCAGTTTTTCTCCCCATATCAACAGGAAAAGGCAAAGACTGGCCACTAGCTAGTCTCTACCATAGATAAGGCATATTCACCTCATATGTGTATTTCAAGTACAGATGGTTTTTTTTTTCAATACCCAGAGTTTTGGGGTTTTTTTTAGCTTCAGACTATGGCCATATCATCAATGTATAACTCACGATTCAAGTGGGATGACTCTGGATGGAATTGAATGAATTATGATACAGATCAAATATCAGCATTCTGATGCATTTAGATACATTTTTAAAAGTATACTACTACTGTATCTTAACATCATGCAAGGAAAATTCTAAGACCTCAGGGGCTCCTCCCTGGCCTCTCAGTAGCCCTCCAGCAGTGCTCAAGCAAAGTGCAGCGCTTCCAGCTAGGCAGAAAGGGCCACGTTTCAAACGACAGCGCCCTAGGCTTCGGGCTCCACAGTTCTTGTGGTCAGCGGCTCTCAAGCTGGGAAATGACTTCACTGTTTCTCTTACTTCACTTCTCTTACCTTTGCTCTGAGCAGAAACTACAGGCCTTCAGTAGCACACAGGACACTGTTCTTATTTGTAACAATGAGAGGCATGGTTCTCTCAGTTCTTTATTATAAACACAGAAAGCAAGCCAGTATAGTATTTAAACAAAGCACAACTTTAAAATACATGAAGTTTAGAAACATTCTCCCTTGCTGCATTACACAGCCTGTGTTTCCAGGTGAGGCACAAAGACCTCGATATGACTCACACTGAGACAACAACGGACGAGACACAGCTTACAGCCACCTTCTTCCCAAGAGAAGGCAAGACTGCTTTGTGCGGGACCACCTCCAAAGAAGACCTGTAACAAATACAAGTATGCAACATTCCTTATGTTTTACTAAGCAGTATGGTTCAAAAAACACACACTAGAAACTTCCACTTAAACCGGGCGCGCCTCCAGCCAGGCTGACTCCAGTCCTGGCCGCCACACGGCCGTGCCGCGCTGTATGTGGCAGCCCGGGGCGCTGCGCACACGCCGCCCTTCCTGCAGACCGCGGGACACTGCCCTGAACAGAAGTGAACTTCTCGGGATCAAGACAAATCAAAGTCTTAACAAGATACAGGCACTTTATGTTCCCAGTTTTTAAAAGAAGCCAAGAAGAAATATTTAATAAAGGAAATAAACAGAGAAAGCATGAAGAAATCTTAGTTTAGTGACTTGCGCTTGAACAAACAACATGGAACAAGTAAAACAACAAAAGTTTAACTGGGTTAATGGTCACAATGATAAAAGAAAGACCCAAATTACTACAACTGCAGAAAAACTGGTGTTTGAACAACTGAAAAATACACCAATGATGTGCATGAAACTACCTGGGCAGCTGAGTAACACCTGAAAGCTCTGCAAAATGTGCGGTGAGAAAGCGAAAGGTGCTTTTATTCCACAGTATCTGATTAGAACAGAACAAAGCAACTTACAAAAGTACCAAATGATACTTTAAAATAAATAGTTCATCATTTTGATGAATATATACACATCAGTCCGCGCCCGGGGAGTTTAGCTATCCAAGAGTGGCATGTCGCTATCCAGGGATGCGGGAGCCAGTTCACATAAATAGAACAGGGTGGCCTCGCTGGCTTCCGCCTCAGTCAATGGCTCCAAGCGCACCAGCTTGCTCTGGGTCGGCTCCGGGTCCAGGCTGCCCTCCAGGAGCTCGTCCACCTCTATGGGCTTCTCCGCAGAGGACACCGCTTCGGCCGGTCCAGCCGTGCTCCCCTGCTCCACCGCAGACGTGGGGTTCCCATCAAGGAAGGCGAGCAGGGGGAAGGCCGTGTACTGGATGAGCTGCTTGTCTGCAAAGACAGCACACACTCACGTGGCTGTACAGGGCCTCGCTCCCGGAAGCTATTAAATGCTCAAGGCAGAGAGCCGAGCTCTTCCTCACGTTCAGGTTGCCCAATTAAACAGGAAAAAATGACTTCTTAACCATTACCTTGCTCGTTCAGTTTCCCCTCTCTGACAGAACCTCAAGCACTAAGCAGAGGCCAAACCAGGGTACTCTGATCAGATGCTGAGAACCACCAGGCCTGAGAATGAGAACCGCAAGGCCTTCTTTGGTGGCCCTAATTTCCACACAGGAGTCCTACGAGCCTACGGAAATCTGTAGTACCTCTGTATCTACCTGGTTTGGACTTCGATTTTCTTCCTTCTTCAGAAACTGGTTGAACAACATTATTCTTGGTAGCTTCCAGTCCCTTGTTCTCAGACTGGAAGAAAAAAAAAAAAGTAAAAATACTCGTTTCATGTCTTATCTGGCCCTGGAAAATTAAAAGTGACACAATATGTAAACACTGATACACTATCTGAAATATGCGGCAAAGGGAAACATGAGGAAAATGGATCAGACAGAGATTAGAGAACAGGTACCAAAACTGACTCAAGAGAGCTGTTTGTCACCAAAGGGATTAGGTAAAAAACTGAACCAGGAGGGCAGCAGCTGGACACAGACAAAATTTGTCAAGGGTAAAACATGGGAATGGGTCAAAGAAAAATGGTTTCAAATGCTGAGAACATCTTTAAACAACTAAAGTCCTTTTAAATAGCTCTTATTAAAAGTGTGTCCCGTTAGTTTCCCTTCGCTGCCAGAGCAGCTTAGGAGGAGCTGCTCAGCATGGCTTCCTGACACCAGCCCTACACCTGGAAGCCTCAGGCTGAGATGGCGATTCCTTTTTTTTTTTTTTTTTTTGAGAAGGCGATTCTTCTTCTCTGTTTTGTGGATCTTTCAATTCTTTTTGTCACTTAAAATGGATTAACTATGGTCTTCTCTCCTTACATCTAATTGTGATAATGCTAAATTCCTCAGTAATCTCAATGATCTTAGTATTCTGAGGTGCCAAGGTTCATAACTTGTTCTGAATAACTAAGACCTAGATTTCAGCTAGCTGGTGTTGAAATGAGCATCTACATGAGAAGACCTCAAAGTCCCTTGATATTCATTATACAACGAAACAGTGTAAGTTCCCAGGATTTAGAAAGAAGCTCCAAGATAAAAAGAAGTGGTTATATCCTCCTAAAGCTTACATTCCAGTACTCATCATTTAGCACTCACAATACACACATTCATAATGTAATACATTTATATATTGCCTCGAGTAGGTTTTTTCTAAGAATAACACTGCTGTTTTCTAAAACGCAAAAACCACCATGACAAATGAGTTTCCTTTTCTAAGAAAATTCTTCTCATGGTGGCCGCTCAGCCAGCCACAGAGAAGGGCTCCTCTGTAGGAAACCTTTTCACCTATGCCCTGTCACCCACAGCACAAGCAATTCAATGACACAGGAGAGCCAATTACTTGAGAATATTAATCTAAATTCACAACTATAATAAATGTCACTCTTAATTTTTTCATAGTAACCACAATATGCAGTTTGCTACTTAATTGCTATTTCTGACAACTACTCAAACTAGTGATTTTTATAAGGAAGATAATCCAAAAACGGATCACTGTCTAGCAATAAGTAAACAGAAGCATGTTCACTAAAGTGACCCATGATATAGTTCTATTCAATTTAAGGTATATGACTTGGCAACACTTGATTATCATAATGTTAATTAAAACACAACAGCTAAACTTAACAGAATCTTACAATATAAACATTAGCGAATGGTGATCTACATGCTAAATTCAGCGTGCTCCCTGTTTGTAAAAAAAGTTTTATTAGATAAAGCAGGGGTACAAATTAATTATTTTATTTATTGTGATTGGAGCCAGGGCTTCGCAATGAACATCTCCAGCCCTTTTTGTTTTGGAGACAGGATCTCTCACTAGGTCACTGAACTGTACAGGCTCTGGCCATCTTGCGTCACCCTCGCAGGGTGCTGGGATTATACGTGTGTCACCCTGCACAGTGTAGTTTTTCCTGAACTGTCTATAACTGCCTCTTATTACAACTGAGGTACTCGGTAGTCAGGACAAAGAATACAGAGCCTACAAAACCAGAAGCACTTCTACTACCTGCCCTAAGCACGCCAACCTCTGATAGCAATCACTCCAATACTGAGCGCAGAACCACTTCCTGACTCAGATTTTTCGGGCTCTAATTTAGCCAGATTATCACTGTGAAAATGTGGAAAATCTAGTTCGGCGACCTTTTAACAACACTAAGAGAACTTAATCCCAGCATTGTAATTATTCATATTTGTTTGATATATGCTCATTCTTAAATCATACAGAACAAGAATCAAATAAAATTCACTTCATATTCTGAAACTGAGGTTTGATTTATCTTTGAGTTCCCTGACAAGTAAGGTCTAGCAGAATCCTGACGAGCAGGCCGCGCAGGCCCGCGGCACAGCCCCTGGCACCCGCTGCTCCCTACCTCCCAAATCCTCCTTGTAACCAGCTAGGAGTCCCACATCAGCTCTTGCTAAGCTGAACTATGTTTAATAACACAACGTTCTAACTTTATACTACACTTTTTAAATTTGCCCGTCTTGCAATTATTACAAATTTCTAAGTTTTTAATGTATGCTAATGCAATGATTAAACTTAAAAAATATAAGTATCAATAAATTTTCAATCTAAAAAGCTAAAAAAAAAAGCTTAGAAGACAAGTAAAACTGTGAAACGCAGCACATAAAACATGAAAAAAAAATCCTATTTTAATCCCTGATTTCACAGGTATCTAAACAGGGCAGGATTCAGTGACTTCTGCTTTCATACTGAGTTCACCTCACCTGTGCAGCAGAACCCAGCAGCGAGCTGCCCCATGGCCACACTGCATGCCTCACCTCCAATTCTACTGTCTCGATCATGTGCACAGGTTAAGCACTGGAAATGCTTTTGTAACTGGGAGGACACTGCTCTCTACTTACTAGAAGCTTTTTCAGATTTCTATAGCTATGGGTCCTGACAGCAACATGAATTAAAACTTACTTTTGTATTATTGATGTAATCTGTGGGATTCATCTGCACAGAACTAGTGAAAAGCTGAAAGACCAAACAAGAAAGATGATAAGTTTAAAAAATATTTTAAAAGACTTGTGTGTTCAAACTTTTTATATAACCACGTTGAGTGAAGAATTCTAATTCCTATACTAGAACTTTCTACATAGGCAAACGGGTTCAGAAGAGAAATGCAGGAAAGAAAAGGAAAACGGAAACAAAAGCAGAGACAGCTGCACGGCAGATGGAATAAACCATGCGAGGGGAACTTGGTTTTCCCGAATTCCCTTCTCCTTCCTTCACTTATTCCCCTCAGTGTTGTGACCTTTAACCGCTCCTCTCCCTAAAAGCCTCTAGCTTTCTGCGGCCCTGAGGCCCGAGTACTGTGTCCTGACAACATTCACCGAGCATTTGCTCACTAGGTAACCCATGTACGGAAACTGCTCCATGACTACCACCTACTTACACAAAGTGAACCCTCGAACAGCAGGACAAACCTATTGGGTTGCATTTAACTTCACCTCCACAGGAAGTCCTAAGTGTTAAGCCCAATGCATACTGCACTCTAGTTAGTTTACAGTAAACTTTCATCTCAGTCATGGCTTCAAATCACTCATTCCACGGGGATTTCCTCAACACGCGAGAAGTGCCTGACATCATGATGAAAACACTACTCCTGCTTTCCAGGAGAGCTTACAGCCTTCACGAAGGACAAAGTAAGACCAGAGCCAAAGAGCCAACACATATTCAGATCTGATCCAGCAGGGCAACAAAGGATGGTGGGGCTCAAAGGGACCAAGGACTCATACAATGAGGAGGAAAAAAAGCAGAGACACACTCATGATGGAACTGAAAAGGGCTTCACAAGGTCATTCCGTGCCATGTCTTGGTCTCTGGGGAATGGTTAGGACCTACAGACAATGACGCATTAGCAACCACAAAGAAGGCACGGTATGTTCTAGAGATGGGTAAGACCTGCCCAAGTGACACAGACGTCTTTAGCCAAATAGTTATATACATGCATTCAAAGCAGGGCAAGGCTGGCTGCTGAGGCCGCTCCTACCCACCACACGAGAATGACCTGAGGAGACGGGACATGGATGAAAGACAGAGGCCACAGGACATCCTTCCTCCTCATGCTCTGCTCTGGACACTGCTTCCTCTACCTCCAGGGCTTCACAAGCTCACGTGCTCTTTCCTTTTTGCTTCCTCACCTTCATCTCACCCATGACTCCCCAAGTGAACAGGGCTCAGACACAGGAAGCTGACCGCACACATGGACCGCAGAGGCCTCACAGGATGCTTCTCTCCTGAGGAGACACCCCAGAAGGCCAGCTGGCACCCTACCTTACCACCTAAGGCACCACCTCTCAGGTGTTCCCAGCAGGCACCTGCTGCAAACTCAAAGCCAGATGGCAGGTGAGGGACAGACACAGCTCCTGGAATCCAGAGCCCAAGCCTCCAGCTGACTGCAGTGTAGATCATGCAGCACAGAACTCTGTGGAGCGGCCACATGGCACCAGTATAGTTAGCTTATCTGTCACCTCAGAGTCTTTCATTTACGAGAATACACCATGATTCAAGGACAAAATAACAGGTCCTGGATGAGAAGGCAACAGTGAAATATCACTTTGGCAGGACCTGAACGGCTCTGTAACTACACAAAACATAGGGAGTGATGACAGAAGAAATCAGGTAAGCTGGGGTCTGCTGTAAGCGAGCCAGCTATCCAGAGAATGAGGCTGGCACTGACTGTCATATGAGGCGAGCTCTCATTAAGGATCCCAAAGCACAGAACCATAGCTCAAGCCAAGCACTCTTCAGAAATAGGATGGACTAGAGATAAGCAAGGCAGAGCCGGCCCACAAGCCACAGCTTCTCCACAGAAGAAGAGCAGAGAGAGGCAGAGGAAAAGGGTAAGATGCTGGGTGTGTGGGGAATAGTCCCAAACAAGACAGTGGGAAAAAGCAAAGCTCATGGGAAGATACAGAATGGTTGAGACCAAAAGTAGACAAAGAGATCCATAACTTCTAAAATCAACAAAAAATTCTGAGGCAGAATATTCAACAATGTTATGGGACAGTCAACACTAGTATTGTTCTTCCTCCTTATAACAGCCCTTCAGATTAGGCATTTGTTAATCTTAAATGGTTAACTTCCCCAAAGTTAATTAATATAGCTCTAAGTAATAAAAGTAAGACTTGATTTCAGACAGACCTCCTAGCTGGACATAGCGGTACACGCCTGAGATCCCAACACTTTGAGGCCAAGGCAGGAGGATCAAGAGTTCCAGACCAGCCTGGGCTACAAAGTGAGCTCAAGGTCAGCCTGAACTGCATAGCGAGACACTGTCTCAAAAAGATGGGGGGAACAAAACCTCCTCTACTCTTCTCCTAGAGTGCGCTCAGACTGGTGAAGGAAAAACAAAAAAAAGGCAGAAAAATACTCAGCCTATTTTTATGAAAATCTTAAGGGCCGGCGAGATAGCTCAACAGACAAAGCACCTGCTTTGGCAAGCACAGGAACCAGGGTCCAATCCCCAGTCCTACATGCTGAGCTGGTCCCTGCACTGCCCTGGGGTGCCCTGAGCTGGTGACAGAGTCTTAGTGTGGTGGCGCATACCTGTAATCCCAGAGCTGGGGAGGCTAAAAACAGAAGGATCACGAGTCTGATCTGCGCAGTAAGACCCTGTACCAAATACACACACACACACACACACACACACACACACACACACACACACAGAGAGAGCTTAGGTAGCACTGGGTTACACAGAAGACGAAGTTTCAGAACTGTGCAAAACAATGTAAGAAATATAGCCACTCAATTCATTTTTTTTTTAACCTATTTGGTACAGGGTCTACAGGGTCTTACTACAGATTGGACTGGCAGTGATCCTCCTATTTTCAGCCTCCCAAGTGCACCACCACACTGTATCAATGACGTGTCTCAGCCGCGTGGGGGCGGGGGAGGTGCAGTATGGTGGGGATCAAACCCCAGAGGCTGCGCCTGCCTAAGCGGGTGCTTTAGTCCACTGAGTTATCTGGTTGGCCCAACAGCCACTCATTTCTAAAGGTGTGTAGTGATGGAATTAAGAGAAGCAGAAAGGTAAACAAAAGTCAAGAGTCAAAATGCTTGTTTTTAAGATAGAAGATCTGTACCTATTGAGGACAGGTGAAAAGACCTAAGACCAAGAAAAAAACAGCAAAGAGGACAGGTACATAAACTGGCTGAAAGAGTTAAGTACTTCCTCTAAGAAGAAAGGAAAGCAAGCTACAAATAGAGACAGCTCAGGGGACTGAGGCAGCAAATGCACCTCTTAGTGAATCTCAGCACACAGAAAAGGCTATGTTAAGTCACGTGGTGGCCAGAACAGGCAGTTTCCTCCAATCTGGTGACCTAAGGAATGGGTGCTGGGAGGGCCATGGATTTGGAATGGAGATGGGGGTCACTGAAACACAAAGGGCGGCAAGGACAAGGTAGGCCCATCACACAGGCTCAGTGCGCCAGGGAGATGCTGTGGGCACAGAAAGCCAAACTCAAAGAGAGGAAGTGCTACTGAACTGCATGGTGCTGCCGACTGGGGGACTGCCCTGCCACCAGACAGTACCAGAGGCCAAGGAGGCACAGAGATGGACACTGGAGAGGGACAGCTGTGCAGAAAGCTGAGGAGGGAGAGAGAACCGAGGCCTCCCACCATGCTGAGGGCATGGAAGCCATAGTAAAGGAGAAAACCCAGAAAAACGAACGAAGAGCTTCTCAGGAGACTGTTCACAAGAAAAGCACAAGGCCACGGATGCAGTTCAGCAGCACAGCAACTGCCTGGCAAGCACGAGGCACTGAATCGGACTCCCGACACACACACACACACCCCAAAAAAATAAATCTCAAGGAACAATGAAGAGAAAATGGAAACAGAAGAGAACAAGATTCACCTGAGCGGGCAAGGCCATGCAGAAGGCTGTGAAGGGGGAAGGAGAAGCAGGACAAAAGGAAAAGAGCACCGAGGAGAGCCCGCACCACAAGGGCAGATGAGGACCAAGCTCCCAGCGCCCGGGGCCAAATGTGCAGGTAGAGGACTGGCGCAGGGAGAGCTTGGGACACAAGGTATACGGTATGAAAACCACAGCAAACACAATCAAATAATTCCTGAACTATTAAGAATCCACTCCAGGCTGAGTCCCGGCCGGGTACTGCTAGTACTTCCAGAGATCTGTACTCTAGAGTCCAGCTAACACCACGCCATCCAGACAAGGCCTGGTCCAGCACTACTGAAGAGAACCGAGATGCTGCTATGGGGAATGACTGAGCTCCCTCAGGGGCGAGCAGTGATCACTCTCCCCAAGTATCTCAACTCCATCTCTTCTTCCTTTGTAATAAAACCATTCAGTTAAAAGAGAAAATGAAAACCAACACAAGGGGGGGACCAGATGCGCTGGTTTCTAAGTAATCCCGCTAAGCGGACACCTGAGCAGTGGACAAAGCTCATCCAAGTACCTACCTCAACCAGGAGGTCTGGGTCGATACTGAACTGCCTTCCTGACAGCATAGCTTGGAAGTCCTCCAGGCTGCAGTCAATGCTGTCAAGGTAGTCTAACAGCTCGACCCTGGGGAAAAGAGTTCAAAAGGAAATGTCAGAAGTCACTTGACAAAACACTCCAATAGCTCCTGGGTCCTGCCCTGTTTTCAATCTTTTAATATTTATTTATGTATTTGGTACAGGATGTCTCTATGCTGCTTAAGACTCATAGTATAGTGATCCTCCTGTCCCATCCTCCCAGTGCTGGGATTACAGGAGCGTATGACTACGCCTAGTCTCAGGGCCAACACAGCATGCCTTGCAGGCGGGGCTAGCACAGCATGCGGTACGGGGGATGGAACCTGGGTCCTTGTACTTGCCAGACAGGCACTAAGTCCGCTGAGCTATCTCACCAGCCCCTGTGTTTAATCTTAGGAGATTCTACTCACAACTCAGGACCCCTAAAATGTGGCTCAGTGGTAAAGTTCTTGCCTCGCATGCATAAGGCCCAGGTTCAAAGGACCCAACCCAAGCCAAGAGAGCAGCAGACCAGCAGGTCCGTGCTCTGAAAGCATGCTCAGCTGAACAGAACAGCTGGGCAGGCCATGCGGCGCATGGAGACAGCAGGTGACTTCAGACCACCCACTCAGCACTCACTTCCCCAGCAGGTTAATGTTGTCGTTGAGAATGGAATCCATCATGGTCACAGGGTCCTCTGCAGTCAGACTGGAGGACCCATTTAGCTGGACAGCACTGGACATGAGCGGGCTGCTGCTGTCCCTGCCTGGACTCGGCACCTCTCCGGCCGACTCTGTCTGCTCTCCACTCTGAACAACAGGTGCATACTCGTCTTCATTGTCATCCTCAACGATGACAATGTCAGGGTACTGGCTGCAGCTGGATCCATAGTAAAAGAGGAATATTTACATTTCAGACTGATTCAGCAAATCAAATCTGTGCACTGAATCTTGTGCGAACTCCCTGAACTGAAAGGTTGTCTACAGCCTTCAGTTTCTTGGGTCAGCCGCTTAACCACATAGACCAACACTTCACTGGATATATGACCACAGAAAAAGAACGGTTTTAAAACTCCAAAACAAAAATCAATTCTTATCACTTCTTTGGAGGGGCTGAGGGGGGTGGCACTTTACCTGGCTAAAGTTCACCAAAGAAAAAAGAAAGGTTTTCTGACATTTAAATATTTTCTTTTTTTTCTGACATTTAAATATTTTCATAAACTGTACTTTTCACAAACTCCTTACCTGGAGGGATCAGCTATGATGTCCTCATTTGTTTCAGGAATAACTGGGATACTGTCTTCATCTGTATTATCATCAGTAACGTCATAAATGATGATGTCATCTGAAATTCGCTCCCTTGGCTTCAAACCTTCAGTCCTACTGTGTGGAACCTAAAATATGAGAGAGAAAAATATATTGAAAAACCGACTTCATACTGACCACCAAACTGGGCATCATTTAAAAAACAAGACATATATACTGTTACTTCTCCAATGCTGAAAATAAAAAGCCCAGCAGCAGCTCTGCCTTCCACCTTAGGGGCCAGATACACTAGCTGGTGTTAGCATCGCCTCTTCAGAGGGCGAGGATATGAGCTCTTCCCCTTAGACACTACTTTTACTGTGAAGGAAGTACATGATACACCCAAAAATGTTTGCATGGAAAGTGCTTCAAGTTCGAATGTATTTATACCTAAAAAATAAAAAGTCTGGGAACTTGAGACATTTGAAGCTCAGTGAGATGGCTGGTATGTTGATAGGGATCATTCCCTCTCAAGCAACTTTGTTTGACAATTCATTCCTACTAAAGGCTTTACTAAAAGACAGCATTTGGCTGTCCCACACTTAAATGCCAGGACTGGCTTCATAAGCTACATACACATTCAGCACAGTCCTATTAATTCAAAAAAAGTTCAATTCTCAAAAGCAGGCTAAGATCAGTATAATGCAAAAATCTGTAAATTTCAACACGACATAATAGAGATACAACAAACAGTATTTTATATGAATCGAGTTAAAAATCCTTGAATCCCACAAATAGAACAGCTAAATACACTTGATTATTTAGAAACAACAGCTGAAGAGGAATCAGATCTGAAGTTAATTCTGATTGGAGGATCTTGATAGTTCAATAATAAATCTGAAGCAGTTTTTTTGCAGAACTGGGGATTGAACTCAGGTCCTTGCACTTGTCAGGGGAGTGCTTATTCTACTGAGCTATCTCCCCGGCCCAGGTAGTTTAATTCTTAGACCTGAAAGTAACAAGGTAAGCTCAATAGTGGAATACTTAGCATGGGGATTTGATCCTAGCATCTCAAAAAATAAAGTAATAATAGTAGGATTATTATAAAGGGGTCTAGACTCTGGACTAATTTACAATTGCATGTAATTCTGACAAATACAGCCTCTGACAAAAATTAAAGCCTATAAAACTCTTTTGAAACTGCTAGAGGACAAGTAGCATTGAAGCACATAATAGGAGTTGGAAAACAGTAACCAACAGAAAAATGCATAATCTTATTATCATATTATCACAATATTCAATTTACACAGCATTTGAAATGAGTATTAGCTTTATAAATCTGAAAAGTAACTCCACCAAAAAATACTATAAAGTCACATGTACAACATGACTGGAATTTTATGAAGTTTAGATATATACAAAACAATACAAAATACTATTCGTAGATGCACACATACAGAACAACAATGGCAAGAACTATCTCAAGAGAAGCTTAGAAATAGGCAAAAAATGGCACAACTATATTTGTAATGATTTATTTCTTTAAAATAATCTAAAGCAAATAATGAAACCTGTCATGAATACACTCCTGCATTATTACTCACTGAACTCTGACTTCATAAAATAATACCATGATAAATTTATAGTCTGGTAGAATAAACACAAAATAGACATTTAAAAAATTACTTTGTGGTGGTGATTATCAGCTGGCTCTTTGACTATGTGCTGAAACAGATTCTTCTTTTGGGCTCCATTCGTGTTCAGAAGTAGAGGCCTGGAAACCAGAAGAGTATTCATGTGCTTCCATGGAGCAAAAACACAAGGAAGTTGATGTTTTCTTAATTCACCCACTCCCAAGCACAGGTCATGCCAAGACAGACCCTGGTGCCCACACACAAGGAGTAGGGACGCGGCTCAGCGCTCAGCCTAGCCTGTGCAGAGCTCTGCTCACATCTCCACCTCCGCAAACTCAATCCAACACAACTGTTGAGGGCCACCTGAGCAACTCTCCTGGAAAGCAGAGCTCCATTCTGGCTGAGCCTGACCCTACTTTCTTTGCACTGTTATGTACAGAGCTGGCTAGGACTGTTCCTTTCCCTTTCAACTGGCTTTAAGCAACGCACACTGGTCTAGCCGAGGTGCAGCTGGTAGTCTTTGAAGCAGGCAGAAGTGTTTCCCTGGAAAACCCCACCTGCTGCTCTTCCATGAGCTGGGTAGAAACAGGAAGAAAAGCCAATGCTCCACGCTGTGGAGCAGCCTCGAGATAGAAGCTCTGCCTTCCTGGGGCCTGAAAGACTGCACACCAGAGCTGAGGCACCAACCCCAAAATACTAAGATACTATTTCAATAGTACAATGCAAAGTTCTCTTTCTGCATACGACAGAGGTAAATGCTAGTCCCGCTCGTGGCGCTCACGTACTTCCCGCCACTCTCAGTAGCTCATTCTCAACCCACCCCCTTTGCACAAATGAATAAAAGCTGGGCTTGGTCCTGAGTGATGGCCTTTGTTCTAGATGACCATCATTGTGGCTGGACTTAGGACCCCTTGGCTCCCCACAACTACAAATATACTTTAGTGTCTTTATTCTCACCGTGGGTTGCACTGGAAGTGGTAGACTGAAATTAACTTGGTAGGATTGTAATTATTTATCCATGGGATTACAAATATAAACTTTCTGGACTGAAATGAGGACCAGGAAGGGCTCTCTGCTAATAGCCAGGAGCTCTTTAACCTGAGATGTGTTAGGAACATAAACTTGGAATGAGAATTAGCTTGGACTTTCGGTTTTATTCTTCCTTATTATTTGTTAGGGTAAATATAATAAATTGTCCTACAGATAAACTTTACTGCCTACTGAATCAAATAACTTTTTATAGACTATTCTTAGGTGGTTAGAAGAAATAAGGAATATCATAAGAACTAGTTAGTGAAAGCAGAAATGAAGCCACAGAGCGGCAATCATTAAACTTGCCCTAAGCCTCAGCCTTACAATCCCTTTCACCTTCCCACTATTCCTTTTGTCTTTCACTCTTCTGGTTCAGCTGTGACCATGGCAGCTGCTGACAATCATAGACAGTTAAGATAATCTCTGGTCCAAAAAAAAAAAAGGGGGGGGGG